CCCCTAGGGAAACCACCAGCCTGTTCTCTGTGTCTGTGAGTGTATTTCTGTTTCATTTGTTTGATCATTTATTTTGTTTTTTAGATCACATATATAAGTGAAATCATAGTGTTTGTCTCTCTGTGTGGCTTATTTCATTTAGCATAATACAGTCTAGGTTCATCCATGTTGTTGCAAACAGCAAGATTTCTTTTTCTTTTATGGCTGGATAATACTCCATTGTGTATATGTACCACATCTTTTTTCTACATTCGTCTATCAGTGGACATTAAGATTGCTTTCAGATTTTGACAGTTGTAAATAATGCCATGGTAAACATAGGAGTGCATTTATCTTTTTGAATTAGTGATTTTATTCTCATCAGATAAATTTTCAGAAGTAGAATTGCTATATTCTATGGTATTTCTATTTTTCCTTTTTGAGCAACTTCCATACTGCTTTCCATAGTGCTGTACCAGTTTACAGTCCTACTAGCAGTATAAAAGGATTCCTTTTTCTCTACATCCACACCAACACTTGTTATTTCTTATCTTTTTGATATCAGCCACTCTGAATGGTGTGAGGTGATATATCATTATGGTTTTCATTTGCATTTCCCTGATGATTAGCAGTGTTGAGCATCTTATGTCTGTTGAGCATGTTAATGTCTTCTTTGGAAAAATACTCAGTTCCTCTGCCCATTTTTTAATAGAATTATTTGGGCTTTTTTGGTGTTGAGTTGTGTGAGTTCTTTTTATATTTCGGATATTAACTCCTTATTAAATACATTATTTACAAATATATTCTCCCATATAGTAGTTTGCTTTTTCCTTTTGTTGGTGTGGTTTTTGTTTTTGCTGTGCAGAAGGTTTTTAGTTTGATGTAGTCCCACTTACTTGTTTTTGCTTTTGTTTCCCTCACCTGGAGAAACATCTGGAAAAAAATTACTAATGCTGATCTTCAAGAGTTTATTATCTGTGTTATCTAGAGGTTTTATGGCTTCAGACCTTATGTTTAGCTCTTTAGTCCATTCTGAGTTTATTTTTGTGTATGGTATAAGATAATGATACAGTTTCATTCTTCTGCATATAACTGTGTACTTTTCCCATCACCATTTATTCAAGAGAGTGTCTTTTCCCTTTTGTATATTCTTGCCTCCGTTGTCTTAGATTAATTAACCATATAGGTGTGGGTTTATTTCTGGGCTCTCTGTTCTGTTCCATTGCTCTAGGTATCTATTCTTGTGCCAGTACCATATTGTTTTGATTACTGTGGCTTTGCAGTATATAGTTTGAAATCAGGGCACATGATACCCCTAGCTTTGCTCTTCTTTCTCAATATTTCTTTGGCTCTTTGGGGTCTTTTGTGGTTCCACACAAATTTTAGGATTATTTGCTCTAGTTCCATGAAAAAATGAATGCTATTAGAATTTTTTTTAGGGATTGCATTGAATCTGTAGATTGCTTTGGGCCATATGTTCACTTTAACAATACTAATCCTTCCTGACTATGAGCATGAAATAGCTTTTCATTTATTTCTAACCCTTCCAATTTCTCTTATCAATGTCTTATAGCTTTCATAGGTCTTTGACCTCCTTGGTTAAATTTATTCCTAGGTATTTAATGTTTTTTGATTCATTTGCAAATGGGATCATTTTCTTAATTTCTCTTCTAGTTTGTTATTGTGTATTGATTTTGTATCCTGTGACTTTAGTGAATTCATTAATTCTAATAGATTTTTGGTGCAGTCTTTAGGGTGTTCTATATATAGTATCATGTCATCTGTGAATAATGACAGTTTTACTTCTTCCTTACCAAATTAGATGCCTGTTATTTCTTTTTCTTATCTTGTTGCTATGCCTAGGACTTCCAATACTATGTTGAATACAAATGGAGAGAGTGGGCATCTTGGTCTTATTCCTGATCTTAGAGGAAAAGCTTTCAGCTTTTCTCCATTGAGTTATGATGTTAGCTGTGTTTGCTTTTGTTTCTGTCACCTGGAGAAACATCTGTTACATATAGCCTTTATTATGTTGAGGGATGAGAATGTCAGTGTGTGCTGGTTGTTTCTTCTTTCAGCAAAATATTAAAAAAGAAGATGAATGCAGATTAAGCTACTTGGTCTACAAAGCAAAGATGGAAGGAAGTACTACTTTGCTAAGGAACACTCTTCCATCTACATTCTGAAGTCTAACTGATTGACAATCCTATACTTTAGAGTCTTCCAGGGTTGAAAATGCCAATTGCTCCTATCCACTAATACTAAAGCCAATACAAGCAGGGGGCTTTTGAGCTCCAACATGAAATAATATCAATACCCCAAGCCTTTCTCAGTTGCCAGACAAAGATCAGATGTAGAATACATTTACTCGCTGGAGCCTATCTTTAGTTTTTCATTGCTTTAAGAAGTGTTCATTAAACTAAGTGTTAGGGGGATGGGCAGAACATAGAGGCCATTACTAAAGGATGAAAATCTTCATGCTTCAAAAATAGATTTGAAGTTTATAAGGTTTTTAAGGAATTGTAATGCTAAGAAACTCCAAGCCTGGCTAGCATTCTTCAACTCTTAAGACCATCCCTTGGCCCCTGAGCTCATATCTACAGGAAGTGGACTGTGAAAGCTTCAGAGCCTCAAAGAAGGGTACCTTCCCTAATATCCCTACCTCTGGACAAAAAGGATCCCCCAGAGGTCAGAAACAGGAGCCTTGAAGGACAGTGGACAAGAGTCTTTTTGCTGCCCAGAAAACAAAATTAGATGCTACCAGATTGGCTGACTCGGATATTTATTGTTTTGCAAAGAGCAAGAAGTCCTTGCCCTTCCTTTCCAGTAGGATTTAAGATTTGTTATGGAACAGTGACTACCATGTGTTTCCATTTCCAAATTTTTATTGCTGTATCCTGTTTGTTCTTTACTGCAGTGTAGTAGGTATCTACTGTGTGAGCCACAGTTGGACCTGATGGACAGACTAGGACATCAGCCAGAAATCCTTGATTTGAATTTGGATGAGACCTTAGGAGTCAGGTAGTAAATGGACATTTCTGTATATGAGAAGAAAGGTATATGATCATGTGTAGCCAAAAAGGTTGAACTATTTGCTGCCTCTTGAATATCCACTCTTCTTACTAACTGAAAAATTGTGTTCTCGTGGCAGTGTGCCAAGCAAAAAAAAGAAGTAATTTTCCAGACCACATGAAATCTTTCTGGCCAGTGTAAGCAGCTGTCTACTGGATGTTGCTTCTAAGAAAGCTATTGTTTTTCTGTTAAAAAGGCACAGGCCACCATCCTGCCTAAAGCAATCTACAGATTGACTACAATCCCTATCAAAATACCAACAGCATTCTTAGGCGGACTGGAACAAATAGTTCTAAAATTCATATGGAACCACAAAAGACCACAAATAGCCAAAGCAATCCTGAGAAGGAAGAATAAAGCAGGGGGAATCTCACTTCCCAACTTCAAGCACTACTACAAAGCCCATAGACCAGTGGAACAGAACAGACGGTCCAGATATTAACCCAAGCATTTATGGTCAATTAATATACAATAATGGAGCCATGGATATACAATGGGGAAAGGACAGTCTCTTCAATAGATGTTGGCAAAACTGGACAGCTACATGTAAGAGAATGAAACTGGATTACTGCCTAACTCCATACACAAAAGTAAACACAAAATGGATCAACGACCTGAATGTAAGTCATGAAACCATAAAACTCTTAGAAAAAAACATAGGCAAAACTCTCTTGAACATAAACATGAACAACTTCTTCATGAACGTATCTCCCCAGGCAAGAGAAACTAAAGCAAAAATGAACAAGTGGGACTATATCAAACTAAAAAGCTTCTGTACAGCAAAGGACACCATCAGTAGAACAAAAGGGCATCCTACAGTATGGGAGAATATATTCATAAATGACATATCTGATAAGGGGTTGACATCCAAAATATATAAAGAGCTCATGCACCTCAACAAGCAAAAAGCAAATATCCAATTAAAAAATGGGCAGAGGATCTGAACAGACACTTCTCCAAAGAAGAAATTCAGATGGCCAACAGGCACATGAAAAGATGCTCCACATTGCTAAACATCAGAGAAATGCAAATTAAAACAACAATGAGATATCACCTCACACCAGTTAGGATGGCCAACATCCAAAAGACAAACAAATGTTGGCTAGGATGTGGAGAAAGGGGAACCCTCCTACACTGCTGGTGGGAATGTAAATTAGTTCAACCATTGAGGAAAGCAGTATTGAGGTTCCTCAAAAAAATTCAAAATAAAAATACCATTTGATCCAGGAATTCCATTCCTAGGAATTTACCCCAAGAGTGCAGGAGCCCAGTTTGAAAAAACATATGCACCTCTATGTTTATCACAGCACTACTTACAATAGCCAAGAAATGGAAGCAACCTAAGTGTCCATCAGTAGATGAATAGATAAAGAAGATGTGGTACATATACACAATGGAATATTATATTCAGCCATGAGAAGAAAACAAATCCTACCATTTGCAACAATATGGAAGGAGCCAGAGGGTATTATGCTCAGTGAAATAAGCCAGGCGGAGAAAGACAAGCATCAAATGATTTCACTCATATGTGGAGTACAAGAACAAAGCAAAAACTGAAGGAACAAAAGAGCAGCAGACTCACAGAACCCAGGAATGGACTAACAGTCCCAAAGAGAAAGGGCCTGGGGAGGATGGGTGGGAAGGGAGGGATAAGGGGGGGAAAGGGGCATTACGATTAGCACACATAATGTAGGGGGGGCACGGGGAAGGTAGTATAACACAGGGAAGACAAGTAGTGATTCTACAGCATCTTACTACGCTGATGGACGGTGACTGTAATGGGATATGTGGTGGAGACTTGATAATGGGGGGAATCTAGTAACCATAATGTTGCTCATGTAATTGTATATTAATGATAGCAAAATAAAAAATAAAAATAAAAACGGCATGGGTCCAGCTAGCACTCTCCTTTTGCTCTTTCTCTCTCCCTCTCACTGCCTGGAGTGCAGATGCAAGACAACAGCAGCAATGAGAACAAAAACCACACATGAAGGGTAGCAGAGCAGGAAGAAAAAGAGCCTGGATTCTTAATGGTACTGAGGACCTGCAGTAGCTCAGGACTGCCTTAAGCTGTATCTTTGGATGTTAGAAAATTAAATCTCTTACTCATTTAAACCATTGTTTGTTGGACTTTTGGTTAATCTGCCTTTTCCATTAGATTATGAACTCTTTGAAGTCAAAGAGACCTTTTTTTATAAATTGAGGTATAATTGACATATAACATTATATAATTGTCAGTGTCCTGTATAATGATTCAATATTGTATATGTATATATATATTGCAAAATGATCACTACAATAAGACTCGTTAAATATTTGTGCCCATGCATAGTTAAAAATTTTTTTCTTTTGATAAGAACTTGTAATATCTACTCTCTTAGCATCTTTTCAATATACAGTGCAGAATTTTTAACTCTAGTCACCATTATTAATAACTTCAATAACTATATTGAAGAGCCTAGGTATTCACTTCTGTATCCTCATTTGATGTAATGTCCAGTATTAAATAGACACATAAATGTTTGATAAATGAAACAACGTATTGCCATTGCTAATAAAACCTAAACTGTGGTTTGCTCCCTGGTGAAATCTTCAAAGATTTGGTAAAGGCAGATAAGATATAAACAGTGGTTAAACAATACATATTTAACTAGTTTTTATTTTGGTAAGCCCCATTTACTATCTTGCTCATAAGAACATTGTTTTTAGTCAGATCACTAATTTTTTTAAGTGAGCATTTCAGTTTTCTGAATTGAATTTGTTTTAGTGATGTCTACTTAAAAAAAAAAAAAAACTTTAGCTTAATGATGAAAATTTACAGAAAGGATACAAGAAAAGTTTAAGGGCATGGTAACTTCCTTTACCAAGATTCCACAAATGCTAACATTTTACCACATTTGATTTATCCTTCCTCCCTCATTTTTTCCATTAACTTTCTGAGGGTAAGTTGCAGACATTACCTTCTTACCTCTAAATGGGCTTCTTAAAAATCATGACAGCCCACTTGGGTTTAAGTCTGGAGCAATACCTTAGGGTGTATTTTTAGAAAATACTTCAATGTATGTTTTCTCAATTTATAATGACATTCTCTTATATATGCAGTATAATTTGATAATTATAACAATTTATAATAGAACAAATTATAGTATGACTTGAGAACTGTAGTATAATTACATAACTATATAGTATATAGTATAGTAAAATTAATTATATTTTTCACAGTATAATTATCAAAACCAGGGTATTAACATTAATACAATTCTGTTATGAAAATTTTTCCATTTGTCCTAACTTGTCCTTTATAACAGAAGTAAAAAACATTTCCGTCTGGTCTAGGATCCAGTTGAGGATCACACAGATGGCATTTAGTCACCATGGGTTTTTTTAGTCTTCCTCAATCTGAAGCAGTTCCTCAGTCTTTGTTTTTCATGACCATGATTATGAAGAGTATAAGCAAGTCATTTCATAGAATGTGATGTGAGCAGTTTTTGATAATGCCAGTTCACCTGGAGTGAGCTCTTCCCTAGAAAAAAACATCATGTGTTTCTTCAAAATTTTGTATCTTAAGAACTTTATCTCGATCAGCTCTACAAGATGTCTGTAGGGACTTTGTTGTTGTTGTTTAACATTGTTTCTCAAAGGGGCTGTATTGGCATTTGGAACAGGATAGTACTTCACTGCACCAGATTGTCCCACACACCCCTGACATCTGCCCACTGAATTCCAGTAGTCTTCTTCAGTTGGTGTGGACACTCAAAATACCTACAGTTGAGAACCACTGTTCCTTAAAACTTGGAATCTTTAGATTGGGAAAGCAGTCATCTTGTTTTTTATATAGTAGGTAATGCAAACAAATTTTCCAATGAATGATTTTAATTATCAGTAATCTGTAACTGAAGGCTAAAAAATGCTTTGGCTGAATTCTGTTCAGTTATTTAATTAGTCATATTTAATAAATAAATGATAAATGGTTAAATTGGTCATACATGTTTTTATATAATCTGAAATGAATATTTTGTTAACTGTCTCTGCTTAAATTCAAAGATTTCACCTTTGAAGTTAACTGAAATAAAATATCTCTTAAAGATATATCTTAAAACTTGATATTTTGCTGTTATAAGTTTTAGGGGGAAATGAGTCTATTTACATTTTATTTTAATATTAATGATATTATTTTCTTTATGATTTTCTTTCAGAATTGATCCCCAGGAAAGACCTTCTTATAGAAAATGTGCCATATTATGATGCACCTACTCAGAAGCAATGAATTTTCTAGGATGAAATCAAGTCTTTGTAATGTTTTCTCTGACCTGGCATTTTGGCAGTGAATTAATTTAAGTATAGTTTTATAATTAAATTTCAGGTTAGGACATTGCTTAAAATGCAGAACATAGTTAAAAGTGTTTCTAAAGAGCATTAGGTAAGACATTTCATTTTCATTGAAAACCAAACTTTAAAAAGTTAAATATATGCTTAGGGAGGGATATCATATTCAGTTCTCTTTGGCCTTGATGAGTATTTTGGTTTTACCATAACTATTTGAGAATGCAGTGTTTTGACAATTTGGTGGGTTTTCCTCCCATGTAAAGTGAATCTGTCAGATTAAAATTACTGGCTTAAAATAATGTCCCCAATCATTAAATTTGTCAAAGAATTTCAGTGTGTGCCAACTCTCCATAGAAGGTGGGTTTTGTTTCCTAAAGCACTGAAATTGTTTTTGTAGCTAAAAAATAATGATACAGTTTCCTTTTAAAAATAGTATCTTTGTGTTTCTATAAAAACATTTTAAAATTAGTCTTCTAAAGATAGATGAATAAAATATCAAAATTACCTAGGATCACTGTGTGATAAAATAATTCTAAATTTTTTAGGAAATAGTGGCCCTTGATCAAACTATATTCTGTAGCCTTAGTAGGATTAGCTGTACTTACACCAGAGTTAGACTTTATTGTGAATATGTAATATGTGGCTGCATTCTTTTAATTTTAACCAATTAAATTTAAATGTCTTTTCTTCTTCCTCATGTCCCATTCCTGAGAAGATTGGCAGTATTACAAAACAGCTTGTCATTCTACCATCTAATGGTAGGAACTCATAAAATTGTATTTAATGTTCTTCTTGTTTCACTTTTGTCTTGCATCTTTACCATTCTGTTTTCTCAATGAACAGTGTGTTCTGTCCTTTTCACTGATCATTTCTCCCATTCGATGAATACCTTGACAGAGTTTTTCATTTTTACAAGATTCTCAGTGCAAGCTTTGTTTGTTGGCAGACATATTGGTATAGCAATACTGGATATAAAATGTCATATTTTAAAGTAATTTAATTTTAGGAGATCAAAAAATTATCAAAATCATTTAGACATATAGTCAGTATTCTACTGGGTAAACTACATCTATATAGTGTTTATTTTGTAACCCACTTACAGAATTTTAAGAATGATGACTATCTTAAGTACCTAACTTCTCTTTGGTACATGTCAACATTTAATTAAATATTTTTAATTTAGTTTAAAAAAAAAGCTTCTCATATTTCCCCAAGGAAGTTGCCCACTTCTAACATTTCCTTTTGACTACTGAAATCTTGTGAAAGTGGGTTTTACAAATTCTAAGTGCAGATATCTAGGCTCAGAGGCTCAGCATGACTGTGTGAAACAATCTTTTGGCAGAAGTTAGAAAGAGTGAATGGCAGGAGAATCATATTTGTCAAGTGTGTGAGGAAAGAATCCTTCACTGATGATTTGAAGCTGGAGGAATATATGACAGATAGTTTGCATAACATCTAATTTGGAACATTAAAATTAAGATTTAACTCAAATAGTGTTTAAGTTGGTTCTTATTTTATCTGCAGTTTCATTTCTTAATATTAGTACAGTGTCCAAAAAGCACACGATAATGAGAATAAATGGAACTTCTATGCTCATGGACAAAATAAACCATTTAGTTGTAAACACAATGAATGCCATATGTCAACAAAGAAATGAAAATTCCAATTCTTAAGTAGAGTTTTATAAAGCAAAAGTAATAAATACAAAATTAATATAACTTTGCTATATATCAGCTATAACCAATTAGAAAATAAATGGAAAAATTCTGCTTATAATAGTAAACTATAAAATAGGAATGGACTTTTTAGAAAACCTGAAAAACTTAAATATTAAGGACGCACTGTATTCTTAGATGGGACAGCTGAAAATTATGGAGATAACAGTTCCTTAAGTGTAATCGAGCAAAATCCCAACAGATTGACAAATAGATCTGTATAAAAAATACAATAAAACATCTGTCTTCTGTAAAAACCACTATAAATAGTTCAGAGAAAATACTTTCCACTAAAGTAATGATTAAAATAGTTAATATATAAGGTGCTCCTGTGGCTTATTTAGCAACAAGTAACTCAGTAGGAAAATGGGCAAATGATAGAAATAAGAAAGAAGAAATATTAAACTTCTGTAATGATCAGAGAAATATAAATTAAAATGAAACATTTTTGTTCATCAAATTTATAGAAGTTAAAGAAATTGATTGTGTCCAGTATTTGCAAAGGTGGAAGAATGTGGAAATAGGTACTCTCTTGTATTTCTGGAAGAAATGTAAGTTATAGGACCTTTTTGAAGGAAAGTTGACATCAAAATTTGAAATAAACATACTATTCAGTCTATATTTTCAAGAACTGTAAGGATACTAATAAATGTACACTCAGATGTATATACAGAAATTTCTGTAGCATTGGTTATAATTTTTAGAAATTGATAACAGCCTAAATTTCCAAACATAGAGGAACAGTTAAAGAAAGTGTGTCTCATCTGTACAGTGGGATATTAAAAAGGAATTGAAAAAAATGGCAAAATATCTAGTCTAGAAAGAAGCAAGTCACAAAGTATATGTTCTCTATGAATTCACTTATATACAAAACAACTATTTTTGCTCATATCATATATATATGCATATATATGTACAAAGGCATAGAAATAATATGTGCTAAATGTTAGTAGACAGGGAGGTAAATGAGATTTATGGAAGGAGACAAGTAAATTGAGAACTGATACTCCTGCATGTTTAAATATTTTTTACAGTGAGTATATCAACATATAAATTTTAAAGGACTACTCCTAAGCTATTAGTGCTTTTTTTTAAAATTCTCAATTATGAAATATTTCAAATATTAGCAATTAGTATGTCAGACACTAGTGAATGCCCACATTTGACAGATGTTACATTTTGCATTATTTGTTTAAAGATCTCCTTCCTTTTAAGTCAAAAAATCTTATAAAGCTTAAGTCCTACCTCCCTTTTCTTTCTCCTGACTCATTTCAGGGATAGTCACTGTTTTACAGTTGGAGGATATTATCCCCATACTTGTTTTTATGCTTTTACCAAATGTGTATTATTCAAAACATTATATAGTATATGTAACATATATAGCGTGTATAGATATTAAAAATATAATATAATATATATATGACATTATATAGTACAATATAATAGCGTATATATATATAATAGTTTTGTTTTGCGGTTTCAAATGTTAAGTGAATGGTATTATGCTCCATGTATTCTGCCGCTTAGTTTTCATCATACAGTAGGTTTTAGAAATGTATGTGTATTGTTGCAGAAATATCTAGGTCTTTCACTTTTATCTTTTATTCCTTTGTAAGAATAAACTATATTGTTTATCCATGTCTCTTGATAAATAATAGTATTGTTTCATTTTTTGATATTGCAAACAAATTTACTAAAAACTCCAGCACATGGATTCAGCACCCATGTAAATGTTTATCTGGATATATATACCCAGAATCAAAACTGTTGAGTTATAGGTTAGGTACATATTCATCTCTTTGAGGAATTTTTTAACTGTTCTTAAAAGTACTCATGCCAGCTTACTCTACAGTCAGCACCATGTAAGAGGTCCCATTTCTCCATATCTTAACTGCTGTTGTTATATATGGCTTCCCTTTTTTGTCAAGCTAATGATATGAAATGGTAGCACACTGTTTTAATTTGCATTTCCGGATTACTGATGATGTAGATTATCTTGTCATGTTTATTGGCTATTACAGTTTTCCATTATGAATTTGTGTTCCTATCCTTTATGAACTTTCCTCTGTGAGGTTGTCTGACTTTTTCCTTAATGATCCTTTATGTATTCTGAATATTAACCCTGTATTCATTATCTGAGATGCAAATGTCTTCCATTATATGACTTGTCTTCTCTGTTTATGATAAAACTGTAGTTTCGGAGTGTATTTTAGTGTATGCATTTCAAAAAATTTTTTTCATTAATTTTCCTTTTGTATCTTTTTAAGAAATTCTTTTCTACTCCAAAGTCATATAGATACATTTTCCTCTGAGTGATGAAGTCTTACTTTCTATGTTCAGGCCTTTATGCCATGTAGATCCATCTAAAATTTATTTTTGATAGGAAAGAGGGATCTAATTTTATCTTTTTTTATGGGAAAACACTTTACCTTAGCATCATTTATTGAATATCACATCTTCTTTCTGATTGCATATCAAGGAATTTTGATGATATCCCAAGTTATTATATATTGGAATCAGTCTAATCCTCTTAACTATTCAGTGCCTTTGTCCCTACAATTATCCCTCTCTGCTGCCAAATCTCTTTTCCTTCTCTCCACTAGATTGTTCTCAACAGCATTCAACATTTTGAAATATTCCCATTTTAAAAAAAACTTCCTTTGAAACTCCCCTGCCCTCAAGCTTCAGCACCATTTCTCCACTCTTTTTTGTACTGAGAGGTTTCTGTACTTAATGTCCCCCACCAGTAACCTCTGCTTGGAAGTACATAGGTTAATTCTCAGTCTTTTTTTATTCATCCTCTTAGTAGCAGTTGGCATGATGGATCATTCCCTCTTTTTTAAACAGATACCTGGACATTTATTTATTGTAAATCTACTAAGATATAGCCATGAACCAAAGTAATAAAAATGCCTGCGTCTTCTGTTTACCATTTCAGATCTACTCTCAGCCCTTCTGGACTCTGCTTTCAGCCTTCTCTGGAAGGACTGACCTGTATGAACCAGCTAAAGTTGGTCCTATACCCTCTGACTTTTGATTGGTACAGCCACTGGGGAATGCTGGCAGAAGATCAGCATTCTTCTGTATGCGAGAGACAGACAATAAACAGAATTAAAAAGTAAACTAGAAGGTGATAATTGCTTTGGAGAAAGACAAAGCAGGAAAAGGAGATAGGGAAGCAAGGAAAAACAAGGTGTTGCCATTTAAAATAATTTGATCAGTGACGGTCTGCTAAGAAAGTGATAGTTGAGTAAAGATGAAGAATGTGAGGGATGTAGCCATGCAGATACTAGGGAAGAGCTTTCCAACCAGAGCAAACTAAGTGCAGTGTTCCTGAAACAGGCTCATGCCTGCTCTGTTTGAGAAGAACTGAGTGTCGGTAGCAAAGTGATTTAGGAGGAAAGTAGTAGGAGATGAAGTCACAGAAATGAAAAGGTAGAAGGAGGCAGGGAGTAAATGTCAGGTTTTGCAGATTATTACAAGAACTGTGGTTTTTACTCAGTAAAATGCATAATCTTAAGGTTGTTTTGAGAAGAGGAGTGTTAGGATCTTTAAGTTTTAAAGAGACCATTCTGGCTATTGTTCTGATAATAGATCATTGGGGCAAGGGTGGATGCAGGGATACCAATTAGAAGTCTCTTGCATTAACCTAGGAAAGAGGTGATAGTGGCCAGTGTGGCAGCAGTGATAGTTATGAGAAGTGGCAAGATTTGGGATATATTTTGATAGAGCCCATGGGTTTCCTGATGGATTGAATGTGAGGTGAAATTAAAAGAAAGGAGTCAGTTGATTCCCAAGGTTTTTGGCTTGAGCAACTGAAAGGACATAGTTACCATCAGCTGTGATGGTAAACAACCAAGTTTGTGAAAGAAGATCAGAAGTTTAGTTTGGGGCATGCATTGATTGAAATGACTATCAGTTATCCAATTGGAGTTGTTAATGAGATTGGATATAACAAATGCTGCTCAGGAAATGGTCTGGGCTGGTGTAAAACTTTGGGAGCCATTAATATAGATGAAGTATTTAAAATCGTCTGTTGGATGAAATCACCAGGAAATTAATTTTAGATAGAGAAGAAAAGTCATTGAGTCCTGGGGTACTCCAATGTGAAGAAGTTAAACAGATAATTATGAACAACAAGAGCTAGAAAAATTTCCAGTAGGGTAGAATGAAAACAAGGAGAATTTAGAGCAGAGGTTGGCAGGCTTTGGCTCACAGAGGCCAAATTTGACCCACTGCCCTTTTTGTAAATAAAGGTTTATAGGAAACATCACACTTATTCGTTTAAGTCTTGTCTATGGCTGCTTTCATATACTACAGTGACATAGTTGAATGATTGAAATAGAAACTGCATGATACGCAAGGCCTAAAATTGCTCTCTGGTCCCCTTACAGGAAAAGTTTCTTGATCTCTTGGTGTAGAGTCCTGGAAGCCAAGTGAAAAAAAGTGTTTCATGAAAGTAAGACTGATTGCATTGCAATTGCAATTAAAATTCCAGTAGGATTTAGCAGCATGGTGATAACTGGTGACTTTGGCAAGAGTTTCAATAAAGTAATTGGAGAAACATGTTCATGCTAATTCTCCCCAAATCAATCTCTAACTTCATTGTAATCACAGCTAAAATTGCAGTAGGATATTTTTGAGGAACTATTAGAATTCATGAGAAATAATAAGGCTCCATAAATAGCTAAATCAGCTATGATGAAAGAGAATAAGACTGGATATCCATGTGCAGAAAAATGGAACTTTAATTCATACCTCACACACTATACAAAAATTAACTGAGAATCAATCATGGACCTAATGTAAAACTTAAAACTAGAAAACTTCTTGAAGTAAAAGAAGAAAATCTTTATGACTTAGAGTTAGGTAATGATTTCTTAGACATGACACCAAAAGCACAATACACAAAAGAAACTGGACTTTATCAAAATGAAAAACCTTTGCTCTATAAAATGTTGTTAAAAGAATGAAAACAAGCCACAGACTGGGAGAAAATATTTATAACTCATAAACTGATAAAGAACTTTTACTCAGAATATATAAAGAACATTTAAAGTAAGAAAACAACCCCTTTTTAAAACAGATAAATATTTGAATACTTGATGATAAAAAGTTACACAAATGGAAATAGGCATACGAAAAATACTCAACATCAGTAGTCATTGGAAATGAAAATCACAATGATGTACTACCACATACCAATTAGAATGGCTAAAATATGGCTGACCATACCAAGTGTTGGCAAGAATGTGGAAGAACTGAAATACTTACACATTGCTGGTAGAAATGTAAAATGGCAAAAAAGCTTTGAAAAACTGTTCAGTTTCTTAAAAAGTTAAACACATCTCATATTACCTAGACTTTCTACCCCTCAGTATATACCTAAAAGAATGAAAGCATTTATCTATACACAGATTTTTCTATATTGCCCAGCAAAAGAAACCATCAACAAAATGAAAAGGCAACCTACAGGATAGGAGAGAATATTTGGAAATCATGTATTGATAATGGCTAATATCCAAAATACATAAAGAATAAATACAACTCAACACCAAAAAAAAAAATCCAATGAAAAAATGTGCAGAGGATCTGAATAGACATTATGCAAAGTGAAATAAGTCAGAGAAAGACAAATACTGTGTGATCTCATAAGTGGAATGTAAAAACAAACTGAAAAACCAAACTCATAGATACAAAGAACAGATTGGTGGTTGCCAGAGGTGGCATATGGGGGTGGACGAAATGGGTGAAAGTGGTCAAAAGGTGCACAATTACAGTTGTAAAGTAAGTCATGGAGATGTAATGTACACATGGTGACTATAGTTAGTAATATTGCATATTTGAACAATGCTAAGAGAGTACATCTTAAAAGCTTCATCACAGGAAGACAATTGCAACTATGTGTGGTGATCAATATTAACTAGTTATTGCAGTGATCCTCCTCACAGTATATACAAATAATCATGTTGTAAACCTGAAACTAATATAATGTGAAATATCAATTATATCTCAATTTTTGAAAAGGCTTAATTTATAGAAGCTTTAATTGTAATGGCTCAAAACTGGGGACAGCCCAAATGTCCATCAACAGATGAATGAATTAACAAATTGTGATAATCTCTATACAGTGGAATATGTCCAAGGAACAAAAAGAAAGGAACTATTATTATATGCAACAACATAGGTCAGTCTCAGAATACTTATCCTTAGTGAAGGAAACCAGACAAAAGCAAATACATGTTATATGATTCTGTTTATATAAAATTCTAGAAACTGCAAACTGCTTCATAGTAACAGAAAGCAGATCAAGGGTTGCCGGAGGATGAGGACAGGGACAGCTGGAGGGAGGAATTAAAAAGGTACATGAATTATTGGAGGGTGATGGATATGTTCATTATCTCAATTATGGTGATGGTTTTACAGGTGTATGCACGTGTCAAAAAAATGTACAAAATGCATGTGTACATTTATAATATGTTTAGTTCAAAGTATGCCAATTACAATGCAATAAAGCTGTTAAAATATATGATAAAGCCAGGGTTATTTTTTAAAGGATGGTATTGGTGAAAGCACTGAAAAATGATAGCAGCTAACCAGAGAGATAGACCCATATACTGTGATTTTATATATATATATATATATATATATA